GGCTACAGACATCTTCTCGAATCGCAACTGCTGTTTGCAGATGGAGTCTGAAGGTTAGGTCGCCAGTGATTGAATTAAGAGGGAAATGATAGACTTGCACTGCATGGGTTTGAAGGGTTGCTTCTTGGGTTGGCTGGAGGCTTGGGTGGCTGCGGGGCTTAGGCCCCCAGGCTCCTTGGGGGTTCGAGTGCTAAACGCCTTCAACATGGCAGTGGCGGAGCTCCACAAAGACAACCTTCAGAAAGGCTGTGGCTCTTGCTCATGCACTGACGCAGCTCTGTGCCCGCAAGTAACCCTTGAGCAGCCATTACAGGGCCAGTGCAAACGAGTTCTTTATCCCAGCTCGGTTGGTTTGCCTTCCGATGCTCGCCGCTCCCAAGGCCAAACCGCCTTTGCAACAGCATGCTACCAGAGTTGCTCGGCAAGCAGAGTAGGGGGCCTGGGTTCAGGCTGTGTGCTAGAGGAAGCAGTGCAACGGGTTTGTAAGGTTTTGTAAGTTTTGTACTGTCGATGTGCCTGGCAGCTGTTGCACTCAGTTCCAAAGCGTGCAATTGGGCGCAGCTTCGACATTCAGCTGAGATGTTCACGACGCCCACCGCTTGCAGCTCAGCGCACATTTGGTCCTGCAAGAGGATCGCTTCTCGGGTTGCAGCTTCAGCCAGCTTTCGGACAACGCACTAACAACTCCGCACCTGTGGATAGCGCTTCTCATGCCTGACCTATCATGAGGCTTTCGAACTCTGAATGTAAACTTAAAAATTGGCCTTTCTTCTCACTGCTTCGCCTTTGTTGCAGGAGGCTAGTCGAACATTCTGGACACACTTCGTGCCCACTGGATGTGGATCAGAAGGGCCTTGGAGGGCCGGCGTGGCAGCCAACTGGTAAGACGGTACGAGATGGCCAGTCCGTGGTAGAGCTTGACCTCCTGCTGCCTTAGAGTGTTAAACGAGCATTGGCCACCTCTTGCCGGGGCAGGCTCGAATGGAACCCGTCACGAGCTTTAAAAAACTATCCCGACATCTGGAACCCAGTAGCCCTTAAACCTTGAACATGCAACTGTCCTGCCAGGGCCAACGCCCTCAAACGGCCACGCAGAAATGAATAGAAGCGGCTGGGATGCTGGAGATGGCGGAGGTTGGATCTACGAAGGCTCTCCTATGGACTCGAGACCCCAAGAACTGATATGAATGGTAAGAGTAACTCTTGCCCACCATCCCAGCCTTCGGCTGAGCCTGAGAAAGCTTGGACCGCTGCACCGTTTCAAGCTGAAAGAAGGAGGCAGGGCTTTCCTCCAGCCCAACAAGCTGGACCAGTGAAACGACGGCACTCTTGTGCCGCGGCGAGGATGTCAACTGCTGAGAAATGTTCAGCTTTATCTGGCCTCCATCTGCACCGTCCCAACTACTGTCAGCAAATGGCCCCACAACTTCTCAATCATCCGACGGGAACCTACGGCATCTTCAAGGCTGTTGCCAAATGTACAGCATTATACAGCTGTTTGTGCTCAGCAGCTAAGCAGCTCGTGCGCTTGGGTGTGCCAGCCCAAGTGAGCCACGCCGTGAACAGGAACCATGTATTTGGTACAATCATTCGCTCTCATGACCCTTGCTGACTTGTGACACTCTGCTATGACTCTGAAACTGTCCCGGCGTGCAGGGCAACCCGGACACTTAGGGAGAAGCACTGGTTCAGCTCCTCGGACAAGTGCCTGATGAGTTGCCAAGGCCCTTAAGGAGGCTTGCAACACCCAGCCACACAGGTCTCAGGGCTTAAATTATACCCTAAGCGTCCCTAACCTCAAACATTGCACCGGCCAAAAACTCACGCCGATATCTCTGCCAAGTAGAGCGGAATGGCTTGGAAGTCGCGGAAAACACAGAACACCTGCAGGAGGGGAGCGTGGCTTTGCGGGGTAGTCTGCATCAAGCGGTTGAGTGCCGCAGTTTGCGACGTGCTCCGAAGTGCTCGAGGCTTGCCTTTCTGCTCCTTTTTGTGCACGACACGGTGAATTTAGGTGACTCTGCGACTTCCTGTGGCAGCCCTGCTCCTTGACCTGGTTTCGACCTGGTTTCAACTCCCATGGCGACAACTCCCTCAGTCCATTACACTGCAGCCCAGTTGCTCAGAAAATTCCAGGCACTCTTATGTTTCATGTTCTTGGCCAATAGTTCAGATCCACCCCCTCCACTCTTTGATCCCTGTCAGCTCCTCTTCGGATGCTTCGCACTTTGGCAGCCTTGGGGTTGCTTGGGTCATCCACCGTGGAGTCGTACCGGCTTCCTTTGCACACTGACAAGGCCAAAGGCACGAGCCGACTTTGGCTGTGGATAGACTACTCCCAAAGCGTAGTCCGCCCCCGAAACCATCTAGATATATGCATATTTTTACATTTATATGACCCCGAGCCCAAAAACCCTTAAACATGCTTATATATGTATATGTCTATGAATATGTCTATGTCTATGTATATATATATATATATATACATATATCGCACTGTAATTACACAAACATAAATATACACACATATATATATATATCTCTCTCTCTGTACAGGCCATGTTGTGGGCCAAGGTGCCGTGCGAGTCCACTGGCGGCTCGACAAGACCTTCGGCACCCCGGCAGACGCGACCTGCGAGGACGCCTGCCGCCAGCTGGGCTCTTTCTCTGCTTTTCATTCTCTGCCTGTCATGAGCATCTTCCTATATCTTCCCCCTTTACCCTCGAAACCCCATTCGAGCGCAGGACTGCCCTGGAGTTAAAACCGTTGAAATCTATACGGCCCATTTGGGGCTTTACGCTTCTAGGGTTCAGGACTGCTGGTATTTGTGGGCTCAGGTCCCTTTTCGCTCCTTGCACAAAACCGAAGGCCAGCTCCAAGTGCTTCCGCCGAAAATGCCCGCAATTGTCGTCTAGAGAGAGAGACAGAGTTTTGCTTTCGGTTTCGTGTAGATCCTATGTTCCTTCTGGCAATCCTTACGGGCTTCATTCATCTCAGCGCTCGCCCCAAGCAGGGCTCCTTTTCTGTAAGCGAGGAGGTTGGGCAGTTGTTGTCCTGGAATCTGACCTGGTGATGCACTCAGAGCTTCGAGTAAAGGTTGATGACGAATGGTCTGGAATAACGATGAACAGTGGCGTGCCGTCTTCCAGGCAGATATCATGAGACAGCGGCTGCGATTTCTCGTGTGAGAAATGCAACCAGCACGTTGGCTGTCTAGGACCTAGGCCGGCCAGCGAACTTTGCGAGAGGCCATCATGTAGCTCACCCTGGTGGGCACGAAAATTCTGCTGTCGCATGAAATCCATTTATTTGTCTGCGTGACTGGGGGTGTCCTACACCGATAACACAAGGAAGGTTCAATTTTTGTTGCCACAGAAGCAAAGGTATGGGCCCCCATCGCATAGCGCTGGACCCGCTCAGGGCTCGATTGCGTAGTGCAGGACCTGGCCAAAACGCAATGCTGCTCAGACTTGAGATTCCTAGCAGCCCTGGAAGAACCTTACACCCTAAACCCTAATCCGTGCTCCTTTGCAGAGATCTGAAGTGTGTAGAGGCTCTGAGCTGGTCTATTCTGGATCCATCAGCCACAAACATCGAACCCCAAGACCCGTGAATATCGGGTGCCACGCCTACGTTGGGAAGATGGGTCCCCAAACCAAGTCTCCACTGCTCTGCCCTGGATTGCAAATAATAAAGAAATGCATATGATAGATATAGATATAGATATAGGTATAGATATAGATATAGATATAGATATAGATATAGGTATAGATATAGATATATATATATATGTATACATATGTATATGTATACATATATATATATGTACAGATATGGTACCCCCCCCACCCATGGACCTACCTTTTTTCGTTTTTGTTGATGTGTGTGCATCACCTCCCCTGCCCTGATATCGTACAGCCTCGTCTATAAACACAGCCACTGTTTAAACACACAGCCCTGTTCACAAACACAGTCACAGCAAACATTGGAAAACCTTACCACCCGTAAGGCTAGGAAGGATTTGAGGGCATAGGGTGCTGCGAATAAATCTGTTCGAATGAATCTATTGCAAGTAGGCCCCGGGGAAGCGAGAATACTGTGAGCCAATATCCTTTCACTATGTTCCGGGGCTCATAAACCCTACTCGTTTAAGGTTCAGATTTATCAACACCTTCTTGGACTAAGAAGTAGGGTCAGACCCTATTCCAAGATTTATGCGTATCAAAGGCTTAGGGTTTAAGATTTATATAGGCATGTAACCTGAGCCGTCCCTATAGGGTTTAAGGTTTGTACCGGGATAAGGTCTAAAGGTTTAGGCCTTCAGAATTAGGCATTTGAACCCCAGTCCATGAATTTAAATCTTAAGGGGCCTAAACACTTAACCTTTAAGCCCTATAGGCTATAGGGTTAAGGTTTAAAGATTTTGGTTTGAAAAAGTAGGCCCATCGAATTTAAACTTTAAGGGGCCTAAACGCTTAACCTTTAAACCCGATAGGCTATAGGGTTAAGGTTTAAAGGTTTAGGCTTTAACCGTAAGCCCATGGAGTTTAAACCTTAAGGGGCCTAACCGCTTAACCTTTAAACCCTATAGGCTGTAGGGCTAAGGTTTAAAGGCTTAGGGTTTAAGATTTAAGCCTCAAAGCCTGATGGTGAGAAAGAACCCTGAAACCCTACAGGGCCCTAAAAGGTTCAATCAAGGTTCAATCGTTTAAACCTTATAGGTGCTGAAAGAATAAATGCCCAGACCTTAGGTTGAAACCCATAAGGTTTTGGAATTTAAGCTTCAGTTTTAAGCATTTAAACCTTTAACCCTCAGGGCTTTAGCGATAAACCCTGAGAAGCCTTAGGCCCTTAGACCCTACAGGGCTTAAAGGGTAAACAAAACCTACTGTTTGGGAATTTATACCTTCAGCCTAGAGTGGACACCGTTTAACGTTTTAGAGCTCTATAGGGCTTCAGGGTAAAGGGCTTATATAGTGTTAAGGATTAAATGCCTAAA